CCCCCCCCCCCCCCCCCCCCCCCCCCCCCCCTGCTCAGATGCTCCTCTCTCCGATATGGAGCTCGCCTGCCCGCGGTGTGGGACCAACTCCGAGAGAGTCTCCGCCAAGCGTCCCCCGTTCCCGAAGACACAGCCTCCCTCGAAGCGGTCTAAGATCGAGCAGCCTGCGGCCATGGGATCCAGCCCCTCCGGTGATCCCTCCGAACAGGACCAAGCCGAGGCGGAGCTCCATCGTCTCAACCGGGAGCTCGAGAGCGCCATGCAGGATGAGACCGAGGCTGCCACGAGCTTCTCGAAGATGGCCTCCATGTCGCACCGGCTCATCGAAAACATGTCCCTCTTGTCGTTGAATCTCCTGACATCCCTCTTCCCCAGCCGACGGTGACCGGCAAGAGGAGGCATCTCCCCTCCCCCACCTGTCTGCTTACCCTTCCTTGTTGTCCCCTCTCCCCTCCCCTCCCCCCGATCCTCTTCTGTCCTTCTCGCATGAAACATACACCCCTCTACTCCCCCTCACCACCCCCGCTTTGTGGATGCCGCTTTTTGCTGTTCAGTTGGGCGCCTGTTTCTCTCTCCCTCCCCCCCTCTCTCTCTCTCTCCCGCCCCGATTCCCCTTGTTCCCCGGCCACCCCCCCCATCTCGGGAGGGTGTATCCTCGGTCCCCCGACCGCCTGTGCCGTTGACTCTCCCTTTCGGGCGGGCGGGGGGGGGGGACAGGGGGGAGATCCAATGTGGGCCACCCTGTTGCGGGGTGGGAGGCAAAATGACGTATCTTGCATTCGTCAACATGGGGTGTGTCCAGTGACTGCGGTGTTAAAGTGAAATTATCGGAGGGATCACGTCCCCAGAGGGTCTAGAATGGCATTCCAAGACATTTTGACCACCGGCGATCGTGGGCTCACTCGGTCACTTGTGGCTGCCCTTCTTCTGGGAAGCATCGATTGTGCGCCGACATTCACCCTGAGTGTGTGATGTGTCCCCTGCTTCGTTTTCCCTTCTCCGGCCTTTCTCGTCCCCGATAGATAAGTATCTCCCCTGGGCCGCTTCCTTCTGCCCTATTTGGCGGGGCTCGCGATGGTGGCGCCAGACGAGGGGCGTCCGGCGCGGAGGAAGAAGGGCCCGTCCACCGTGGCCCTGCCCCGCTTCCGGGGAGCCGCGTGTCCTTCGGTGTCCGGCAGGGGCCGGGGGGGGGGGGGGGG